CAAGAGCCATCTTCAGTAAAATACTCCTGAAACTCTTATTCCCTTGTTCAATATCATGAGAATGTACCAGAAGCTAGCATTCTCTTCTCCTTCTAATGAGAACTCAAAATGTGTGATAATTCCTTTTGAAAAACCCAGATCTCTTACTAAGTCATTTAGTTGACCTTGGTTAAATAACTCGGGGTTTAGTTCGTCCGTGGGGTACGCCATTTCATCAGTCTTCAGAATAAAATGGTGATGAGAATGACGACGACCATGACTAGAGTTACAGGTGGCTTAGGATCAGGAATGCTGGGTCAGAGTGGTACAGGCCTAATGGCTGATTTCGAGTTTAAATAAACAATGCTTCGAATGCTTTTCATGTTATGCTCCTCAACATTTACCATACAAAAATAGCAGTCATCTACGTGTTTTGTTTCCTGTCTCCACACCATCGGAATTCCAAAAGATCAAGGTTTCTGCATCCCCTGGGACCCTTTTTTAAACCATTAATACACGCATGACAACCCCGTTTGGCGAATTTTTTTTGTCTCCTAACTTGACACCAAAATAAGCTAGGTAAGCCCTTTTTACGAATGAGGTTATGTTCTGTCTTCTAGTTTTCAAAGTCAGTGATCCGCAAATTATCAAAATCTGTTAAGATAATTTAGACATAATCGTCTTGACATGCTATGCATTTTTAAACTGACTTGCTAAAGAACGTAGTTGCACTTACTAAATAACTTAATCACTCTTACGAAAGAGACGAAAACAGCCACATCAAAACAAAGAGATTGATCAATATCAATCTTCCCCCAAGTTACCGTTTTCAATTGCTCCATATCTCCATCGACCGCTATTACGCGCGGAATTTGAAAAAGGAAAATACGTGATCATGGAAAATCTGTGGCTGTTACAGCAAATCTGATTCCATATTCGCAAACAGCCTTCATAAACCATTCGAAAACATCCACTTTCTTGCAAAGCTCCAAAAGTGATGTTACTCTCTGTAATGCATTGGAAATATACAACGAATTCTGAAGATTTCGTTCTCATAAAATCACTGTTGTAAATAATCTTGTTCCTCTCATCCACGAAAGAAGAAATTGAGACAAAGAGAAGCTTACCAATACCTCTTCATACAAAAATGCTAATAATAGCATTAAAAATTAATTAATAATAATCGCATTAAGATTTTACACAACTTTATCCTTTCAGGTTCGTTCTATAAGATTGAAAAAGATATAAAATACCTTGGGCAATCTTGTGAATGAAAAATGTATTAATATCTTCCAAATACGTTTATTCTAGATATGATAAAAATATATAAATTAAATTAGATCTTGTTTGAGATTGCGTAGATCTCTATAAAGTTAGTCAAGCTACATTGTGCCGAATAATTTTTGAAATTTTTACAAACGTTCTGCGTAGCATCAAGAATTTTATACATTTTCTTCAGATAGAAAGATTTCGTATTTGAACTAATACAATGCTATAATGCTCTCCCTTATAAGTTTCACAAATTCAACAAAACACACAATTCACTACGAAAAGAGTTAACGACCTACCAAACGACGGAAACCACTGTTAAATACTGGGTGAGCTGACAGAAATGCAACGTTGCTACATCTCAGATACACAAAGGAAAAATCATATGTGCTTTCATAATAGATTTCTATGAAATACTAGCCTCGTTAAGTGACTTCTCATTTTGAGGAATTGCTTATTGCTTAAGCACGCCGTAAGGATAGACTATGAATTCGGTCCTATGTATAGTATCACTATTATCCTCTGTCTCTTGGTATGCCAATGTACATTCATGAATAGCGAATTATGAAGGCGGAAAACACGTTTGACCGGAAACAGAAAAACCGTACCAACGCTTCTGAGAACTCGCTAAGCACCTTATTCCTTCTCAACCAACCATCCCTGCACAGTTGCAAAAGTGTGTGTAGTGCAGAATATTTTAATTGCACGACCCAAAGTAACAAAGAAATCGTAACTCTTTCTCTTAAACATTTTAGCGGAAAATCGATTTCATCAAAATTCGTGAAATAACAATAATAGTCTACACGCTCTTTGTGAGAATAATTAAAGAACATATTGTATTCTGTACCCATGCAAAATGCAACTATCATAGAGATCACAATTAATTGATGTATTAAAAACTAACTTTTCGCAAAAATGAACTTTTGACTGCAAACATGTTGGAGAAAAACATTACCTAGTTTTTTTTAACCTTGATTTTTAATGCAATGAATTGATGTCTTTCGTTCCTCATTTTGATGTTATAATCATTGTTTGAAAATACTTCGTGTATCATCAAGTCATTCCCAGATAAATACGTATATACAGTTTGTGTAATACTTAAAATACGTTTTATTTATTATCATAATGAAGATAGAATACCTACAATTTGTATCTATATTAAAACAAATATTTCCGAAAATCATTGTATTCTATGAGGAAATATACATTGGTCGTCGCCACAATTGACACAGGTCGCGGTTTTTCTGCAAAGATATAATATTTTGAATACATGTAAATTTATTATTATTATTAATTATTATTATTATTATTATTATTATTAATAATAATAATAATAATAATAATAATAATAATAATAATAATAATAATAATAATAATGTTTTTGTGTGTTAGGTTTCAGTACACACTCAATTTACCATAGTTCTAGACTTCATACCACTTCACACTCTTCACGTTTAACGTACGTACATATCCTCTTCAGCCACTTCGGTGGAAAACATGACGCTTCACAATATTAACCATGACTACCATAATCCTCAGAACAGAAAGATGCAGAATCAAACAAGACAGGTTATTCTAAGAACATTACACATGAATATTATTATTTATATTAGTATATTATTAACACTGGGCAAGTGATCGTTCGCACGTTCGTGAAGTTGTCTAGTAGAAATGCTGAAGCGCTTCTGATATTGCCATCGGAATAGACTTGCGTCTCATTGAACAGCATATTTTTAGGATTTACTGCAATGACTGGACAATGTGAAAGTGACCCAATTGCATATTCGTGAAGAGACATTCAGTTAAAATGCTGAAACGCGTCTGATATTGCCATCGGAATGTTTTTGCGTCTGATTGAACGGTATATTTTCCGGATTTACTACAATGCTGAACACTGCTAGGTACCCATTTGCATGTTCGTGAAGCGACATCCAGCTGAAATGCTGAAGCGCTTCTGATATTGCCATTGGAATATATTTGCGTCCTATTCAACGGTATATTTTCCGGAATTACTACGAACGAAATTACTACTACTCGTACGGTGACTGCAACACTGTGCTTGTGATCCGCTTTTTTGTTCGAGAAGCAACATCCAGTTGAAATGTTGAAGCATTTTTGATATTGCCATCGAAATATATTTGCGTCTGTAACTGGTCGCGTCCGGTGTGCGCTGTGAACGTGTTACAAGCGTTTAAACTGGCCACTCTGCCGTGGGTATACTCAAAGTTCAATGTGTTAATCCACTCGGGTGGGACTCGCCTGTATTGATCAATGTCATAGCAACACCGTGGATTACGGGCAGCGTGCGTCGCTCGTCTCAACCGCACTCCTGTATTTTGAAGCACTTTTGATAGTGTCAGCATCCGATTGAACGCTATATTTTCCAGATTTACTGCAAAACCTGGACACTGTGCTAGTAACCCATTTGAATGTTCGAAAAGCGACATCCAGTTTAAATGCTAAAGAACTTTTTATGTTTCTATTGGAATATATTTGCGTCCGATTGAATGGTATATTTTCCGGATTTACTACAAGGGCTGGAAACTGTGCTAGTGACTCGTTTGCATATTCGGGAGGGGATATCCAGTTGCAGTTCTGAAGCTCTTCTGATATTGCCATCGGAATAAATTTGCTTCCGATTGAACGGTATATATTCCAGATTTACAGCAATGACTAGATACTGTGCTAGTGACACGATTGCGTTGTCCTCATGCGACATCCAGTTGAAAAGCTGATGAACTTCTGATTTTCCCGTCGGAATATAATTTTGTCCGATTGAACGGGATCTTTTCCGGATTTACTGCAATGACTTGACACTGTGATACTGACCTGTGTGCATGTTCGAGAGACGACATCCAGTTGAAATGCTGAAGCACTGATATTGGCCACGGAATTTATTTGCTTACGATTGAACAGTTCATTTTACGGATAAACTTTAAAGACTGGACACTGTGTTAGTGATCCGTGTGCAGGTTCGAGAAGCGATATCCCATGCAAAAGGTCGAGCACTTTGGAAATTGCCATCGCAATATATTTGCGTCCGATTGAACGGTATATTTTGCGGATTTACTAGAATGACTAGGCACTGTGGTAGTGACCCGTTTGCATGGTCAAGGAGCGATGCTGCACACTTCGTCTTTTAATATGACATGAGCACTCATACTGCTATGTGCACAAACAAAGTCGATGTCTGCTAGGCGCAAACCCGTCGTCGTGCCGTGAGTAAAAAAGATCATTCGGAATTGCTTTTCGTGATAGTGTAGCTATAAGAGGTTATCGCAGCCGAAGGCCAGAGCGCGCATGTTTAGCCATGGAAGAATGCATCACGTTGTGAGGCTAAAAAGGAGGAGAGGCAGAAATGTCAGGGCTTTTGATCATGCCCCTGATTGACCAAGTTTGACGCCAATCGACTACCACTTAAGACACACAGTTGTTTTCGAAACTTCAGCGTTGACAATGTGCTTGATAATGAAGTAAACAAGGTGGGAAACATTTCCGGGTGAGAGATGCTTTTGGAAAAGAAGAGAAGAAACTTAAACCTCCTTAAAATATTTTTTCAAGTGCCTCAAATTGAATGGCTGTTGCATTCAGGAGGAATGCAACATTTTATTTTTCCATCGGTTATCAAAAATGTTTCACTTTTAGTGTAAGTATAAATGCATATTGCTTTCCGATTGCTCCTCGTTAACTGAAAAATATAAACGTCTGGAGCAAGGAAAATGTATAATAAAAACACTTTGAAGTATTGAAGAGTTTATTTACAGTGATGTACAATATTTGTACTATACAATAGAAATATAATGAAGAATGAGATGAGAAAGAAAGTTGAATATAACTTTCAAAGAAACATATGACTATCATAAAATATTCTCTCTCGTTACTTTTCGAAACCTATTTAATTCGTTTTCTTTTCTTTGTACGTTCTTACTTCCACATCTTAATGAAAAATTCAGTATAACTAATTTGAGCAAATACTTCGTGTATTATTTACGAAGCAACGCATCTTTTACTTGTCAGAGTACATTGCTTCGCAATCTTTTGAATCTTAACCTCTAATCTGAGATGCACTGTTCAATCGCACCGTGAAGGGCATGCACTATGATTTCGATGAATTTGTCTCTCATTCAGTTTCATCCACATTTGGATTAACTACTTAGTTCGGTATGCACTTTCATGACTAAACATTGGTGTTGAACATTTCTTTCCTGAAACTCGAAGGAACCCAATGTACTATACACGTACTCATTTGAGACGCATTTCTTTGAAAATTCTCGTATGCAAAATTCTCAAATGAAAGTAGGCTAGTACAATTTCGTCGGTGAAGAACACTTTCAGCCCTCTTCAGGGAAAGATGTGAGTGTGAAGAGAAGAAGAAGAACGCCCTTGCGCGCTCGGGAGGTTGTTTTACTCCAAGGGGAACATGGCGTCGAAGGGTACCTTGTTGAACACTCGGTTCATTCTCTCGACCACAATCTGGCCCCACGCCTCGTTGGTGTCCGGCAACATTTGTTCGTACAGAGGCAGCCAGTACTGGTTGGCGAGCGCCAGCAGGTATTCGCCTGTGAATATATGAATATATATTAGTGATTAATGGTAGGCAATACAACTTTGTTTAAAAGCAGAAACTTCAGAAGGTCAGGGTGAAGACTGTTGCAATGCTTTGTCGTATTTACAGAGTTACTCATGCATATTTGTGCCACGATGATTCTCAGGTTAATGAAATAACCACTTGTTCTTATCATTAAAATTGAAACCTAATTGAAATATATTTCATTTAGGTGAAGTTGGAAAGTCTTGTAATAGTTTACTTTTTAGTGAAAGAAACAAATATTTGTGGTTTTGCATTTCTCTATTGAAATGAATTTCACTTTCAATAGATTATATAGTACTTTTCCCGAAGCAGTGCGAACAATTCCTGAAGTATGAGACGATATAAACTTTCAACTAAAAATGTTTTCAGTCGTGCACAATGAATTATTTTGAATCAAACGCATGTGATTCCTAAAGCCATGATGTGTGAGAACATTTTGTTGAAATTTAATTAAATAGAATTTTGTTTAATAATTATTTATTTAAAAATAGTAAAATTGGTAAAAAATCATCCGATATAAGAAATAACTGCAGATAATTAATACTTTTTTCTGTTTGAACATTAATAAGGGGTAATTTTTAACCTGTACAAGCAATTTATTTTAATAAATAATTATTTTTTATGGTTTCTATTCATTTTTCAAATAAGCCTGCATATATTCAAATATGAAATATAGAACGTAGTACAAAAGAATGTGTAGGTTTAATTTCGAAGGATGCAAAATCGACAGGGCAAGACGATTGCTATTCGTCAAGACGTACGTAAAAGCTTAGCAACAAATACTCACTGAGCTCGGGGTTGCCGGGCACCAGGTTGGAGGCATAGATGCGCATGTCGCCGACCTCCGGGAGCATCTTGAAGGAGGTGATGCGCACGAAATCCTGGCCGCGCTTCTTGTAATGCTCACCGGTTACCTCCCACACGCCAGTCACGTCAGCTGAGAAGGGAGACAGTTGTGTTAATAACACAGGCACTCTCTCTCTCTCTCTCTCTCTCTCTCTCTCTCTCACACACACACACACACACACACACAAGAGTTGTCAGGCTCAATGATTTGACAGATGTTTCTCTATTATGTTGACGCACTGAACTCGAATGTACAACCAAAATTGCGCAATTACCGGGTTTTCCGCGTTTTTTAAAACAACGAACGGTGGTGGCGCAATTCTGGCTTCAGATTCGGATTTAGCACATCATCATACATATAGAAACGTATCTAAAGTCTCTACATCTGACAACTTTTTTATTTTGTGTCCTTGTGTAATTAAAGCAAAATATTTCCATTTAATGTACAATATTTTTAAATGTGAGGTTACTCTTTTCAGTGGATCTAATGACTACGGTAACGATCAATAATGCATATTAAATTCTAGGGATGAAATTCGCCTTTCTTCTTTCAATATTCGAAATTTAACAATGTCTGTCTCTTTGTTTCCTTTTCCCTGTGGATATCACTTACTCATAGTAATGTTGTAGTATCCTTTGGTGATGATCGGCACGACGAGACGAGCATCCACCTTGTAGTCTCCTTCAGTGAAGATTCGGGGCATGTAGTAAGCCACTTCAAAGCGGAACACTTCTGGGTCATTTACAATGGACCTATGAGCAGAACAAGTAGGATAACATAACAGGCGTATGATGCTGTGGGGTAAAACAGTGTAAATTTGTGAAACTAAGGCAGAAATTTAAAATACTTCAAAACGGTGGAAAAATGTCATTTAGAAACGAATGTATACCGTGTCGTTACAAATGTTATTTTGGGTTATCTCAGCATTTTATAGGACGCTTTAACGGACTTCTTCGGAAGAGATAAAATTCCACCACTTCTGACCAGGTTTAACATACACGTAATTGTTTGTCTAGGCTAATTCCCTCTAATTTTTTATAATTAAAATTTTTAGATAATTCAAGTGAGTTGCCTGAACATAGTCGAATACGGGAACCATTACTACGCGTAATCGGTGTTCAGCCTCGAAGCATTTTTATGAGTATTTGTTACTTACTCGTAATTGGCATTTAAAAAAGACCAGAGTACCAAACACACGTACAATTAGATCGTGCCTTATTAAAATAATTTATTAGTAAGTCTGGTTAATTGTTAAAATGAAGAAAAGATGTAAACATGATTCGCTAAGAATAAAATGGAAAACGCATTTAGAGCTTTGCAGGAAATTATGAAATGATGACGAATACGTTATATTAATTGCAAAACTAACAGCAAAATAATTGACTTAATGTTTGTAATAGTGAGAAATATTTTAGTGCAAACGTTTAGGTGTAGAACAAGAATATATTCATGGGAATCTCACTAACAAATTATATATCGTGCGTGTTATAATTTATTATGTAAACAGATTTTCTTTGATACAAAATTATATATACCCCCACATTTCTTGTCACAAGAAACTAGGGTTTCGATCTACACACTAGTTAAAATGGTTGTTCAACACTAGTGTTAGTGTAGTAGTATACTGCAACCCAACTTTGAACGTTTCTGATAACCCGTGCATCGGTAAAGGGGTACACTCCATAATGTAAGAGAACGCCCAGAAATATTTCATTTTGTAGATCATAGTATTCAAAACTAGTGAAGATCACGAAAAACTTATTAACTAAACTTAAGGGACTACGAAACCATCGTATATCATCATTGCTAACGTGTGTTTTTACCTTAAATCTACTTGATGGAGGACTATTATCTGGTAATAGAATACTAACGGGTTTTGTGTGGATTGTTTTAAGTTGTCCTTCCTAATAGTATTGTACCGAGGATTTAGTGAGATATGGTTGTATGCCACATTTCCGAGTTTCTCGACTTCTCAATAACAAATTGCACATCAGTCAACCCTCTTTCCCGTCTGAAACATATGTCTCAATGGTTTCATCAGATGTCTGAATAATACCTGACTTTTTGGATCTCTATCGACATTCTGTCACGCCTTACTTATATCCCGTTGAACCTCGAAACTACATTGGAGTGGTACTTGTGATTGTCTCTCACTGACCATTTCATATGATATAGAGCAAGGCTGCTCAAATGAGGCGAACCGCTTTGGGTTATCGCCCTGGTCGCCCCTTAACCGCCCTGGCTAATGTGCGGGCCAGCAGTGTGGACCGCCGAGTTGGCCTTCTATGAGGGGAGGCGCTTGGGCGCGATCGGCTCAGTCTAATGAAATCCAAGTGGTACGCGGACTACTATAGCAGGCAACCGTGAGCACTCTGACCCTAATTCTTACATTTGAGAAGCCTTGTTACAGAGAGAATGATGAGTTATTGATAACCCACATAAGACGATTATGAATCAGTAGCAATGTTACAATTAATAACCAATTCGAAATATTAAGATTGTTTAGAATTTTATTTTAAGAATTCTTTGGCAATATTCTTCCTCAAAATATAATCTAAAATCACAATATCAAAAATGAACAAGATCATAAATATCAGAAATGAAATTCTGATTCTTGCATTTGAGAAGCCTTGCAACAGAGAGAATGAAGAGTTGTAGATAACCCACCTAACATCTTAAGGAGAATGAGGAGTTGTAAATAACCCATCCTAACATCATTGTGAATCAGTAGTAATGATACAATTAATAATCAATTCGAAATATTAAGATTGTTTAGAATTTGATTTTAAGAATCCTTCGGCAATATTCTTCCTCAAAACATAATTCAAGATCACATTATCAAAACTGAACAGACTTCACAGGGACTTTAATTAATTTTTCCCGAAGTCCATTAATTATGGGTTACTATTGTCTATCTCACAACCAGTCAATTTGTCAAAAGAGCTTTCGCTCGTTACAAGCACGTAAGCCGTGTCGGCCGCAGGGAACTCACTTGACGCTGCGGATCTTGAGCCCAGCGGCGCCCCACGTGCGCGAGTTGCGGATGCGCAGGTCGGCGCTCATGTTGCCGTTGCGGTAGTGGATGGTCATCTCCGGGATCTCGGTGGGCTCGCCGCGCGGCACGCCCACCTCGGGGATGCCTGTGCACACGCCACGTCAGGACGCGCGGCACACACGGCGCGGTGCGCAGAAACACGGCAGGTTAGGGTGCGAGATGGGGATGCGAACGGGGAGGGCTGGAGCAGAGGAAGGGAAGCTGAGGAAAGAAAAGGGGGAGAATGTATGAGGGTAGACTGGAGTTTGGAACGGAAAGTTCCAATATATATATATATATATATATATATATATATATATATATATATATACATACACATATACACATAAAATCCATTATTATGTATGAACGGATAAGTGACATTTTATAAATTCTGAGAAAACCGTGTGTATTTTTGTTGCTTGAATGAACAATTGAAATGCCGTGATTTTTGTGATGAAACAAAGCACCACGACTTTACAGTGATATTCACTTAAATAAGCAGATTTCTCAGTATTTATAAAACCGTTCTCGTTTTCATCCATTCGTATTTAACATAGCTTCTTTGTAGTAGCGGTTTGATCTATGATTAGTTTACAAACGAAGCATTGGCAGGTAATTAATTATTGTTCATCGTTCTAGTTAATATGTTGCATACATTGTTACAACGACAACGACTCCGACATACTGAATTGCTAAAATGTTATACGGAAGTGAATACAATTAACACCTCCACAGATATGACAAAAGTCATAATAGTAACGAGGTTCGGTGTACCAACACACCTGTATGCAATTTATGGCATTCGCTCGTTCGTCAGTCCTGTCTATACTTCTTACTCGTGTATTATTCCCTGTCATTACATCGTTTTGTAACCTTTTATTAAATCATTATGTAATAAATTTTATACCAAAAAAATAATATTTAATAATATGTGAAATGTGTAATAGCCATTTTAGAATTAGTCGGGATGGTACTTAAGTTGGAATCATCGTTTTTCTTTCCAATATGATTTTTTCTGAAAATTAAACATTCATTCTCAAACTATACGATACTTTTTTAATCTGACATTGTTTTAGTAGCTTCACACACAAGGATCACCAAATCGAAAAATAATTTACTTTCAGATTCACGGACTCTAATTTATAAATTGTTTATTGAATTATACATTTATTTCATCCTTGGATTTCAACGTTAAAAATCTATTTTTAAAACAACAGTGTTATTAAATTTAAAATGATATGATATTGAGTGATTCGATTAAGAGCATGAAATATTCTGGACAGTGAACGCTGGAAATGGCTCTGGCGTACTACTACATTTATTGAACTTCACTTCTTACGTTAACATTGAAAAGGCAATGCGGATTTTTGAAATGAACTGGGATTAATCAAATAAACAATGAATTTCTTAAGCGACCACCATTGTCTTTGAAGAAGAGTACACAATAGAACTAATGGCGTGATAGTATGTTTATACAAGTGTAATCACAAAGTTACCTGTTTCTGCGAGTTCGGGGAGCAGCTGCTCCAATCGCTCCTTCATGCATTCGTTGTAGTCAGAGCGACTGCGGCCACACAGTTTTAACCTCTCGCCTGCAACAATAAATTTACAATGTGGTGAGAACCAGATTTAAAAGCTAGTGAACTTCAAGATCTCTTCAGCCTAAGCTCATGAGTTCTAGCTATGGTATAGTCACGCGTGTTACGCTTTCTATTAGGGGAGGGGACTTATGTTATTGATAATTAAATAAGGGCACCATCAAATGTACTATTGATAATCACAGCAAGAAACATGTCACTTGAAAGTACCCTTGATCGTTGAGCAGTATTGTATTAATCATAACAAAAACAACTGTTACTTAAATATTTCGTTCCATCAAAATCTTAAAAATTGAATTAAATTTCTGATCGTTTTATTAATCTCCAAAAATATTATTACAAGAAAAACCTTTCTCTAATATCTTTCTATTTTACAGTCATTTTAGATGTTCACTCTTCTTCAATAGCAAAAAAATATAGCTTTCATTCCAGTCACGATTCAGTAGGTAATTGTTTGTCTTATTGCAAATACGTTAAGTCACATTGTTCCTGTTGCAGAGTTATTCTGTAAAAGGAAATGTTCGGAGAAAGAAAATAGCATCTTCGTAAGAACTTCATTACTGGCACTCGAGCGTTTCTTCATCTTGTAAAAAGTTGATCTCAGTAACGTCGGACAACTTGCGTAACGCAACCTGTTTCTTAACGAGCCTCTAGAAGGCCTTAGGAAAAGCTACATGAGTATCGCGACGCCTTTCATCGGATCTGTAATTACAGTACCTGGCGTTTCTGTAAGAGAGTTGTCAACACAAGAAGGAGGTCATTGTACTTCACTGACATTAAATTTTATTACTCCTTTTGCTGCTGTAACTGTCAATTTTCTAATGTTTTTCACTATTGCATTTCCCTGTCCACCATTAGCAATATTTATCATGAACCAAGAATTTAAAGAACGTATTTTAACTTAAAACTCTTGAAATGTTTACTCAGTGTGTATTGAAAGTTTCTGCTTTAAATGACAAAATGTTAACAAAAAACACGATTTTTTAATGTATAAGAAGTCCTGATACTCCTAAATTCTTCATGAAAACTGTTTCAAAAACAAATTACAAAATTAAGGAAATAAGGATTTTGTTCTAATACTTTTACGTTTCATGCAAGAACGTCTGAAAAATAAAGTTATCTAGATCATTCGTGTGTTTCTTATCTGAAAGAAAGCTATCAACCAAATCAATAAGTTCAGAATACTCTCTGTGAATTTTGTGTTCCTTTCTTCGAATCTGCAAGTTTCATGAATGACTCCTCTTCCCTGCGTGGGCCTCCCACTTCCCAGCGGCCCCTTACCGCCCCCTCCCCCTCCTCCCCGCCCGGATCTGCTCTTGGAGCACAGCCACCCCCGCCCGCGTCATCAGCTCGGCGTTGCCCCAGAGACGGTCCGGGAAGCGCAGCGGCACGGCACGGCACGGCACGGCACGGCGGGGCGCGGCACGGCACGGGCGCGGCGCGGGCAACGGCGTGGCGCACAGGGGAGGCTGGCGGCTGGCGGGGAGCCAGGGGTCGCCGACTCCACGCGTCGGGTTATGTAATGCACGCGCCGCTCCTGCCCCTCACAACCGGGCGAGGCCTATCGCATTCCCTAGGTCCAGAGAGCAGCGCAACCTGAAAGACCGCCGCCATTTAATAAAATCCTTTCACCCGATTCCGACCCGATCGCCTGGTTGGATTCAGAAAGTTTCGAGTATATCAATCTTGATTGATGTTGGGTTTATCGGTGGTTCTCAACGACAGGTGGACTTTCCCAACATTGAATATAAAATGACGAAACCGGCGCAAAGTACCTAAGAACTCTTATGTTCTGTCAATTTCCCATCAAAACTATAAAAAAAAAGAGTCTGCATCAATAGGGGTACTAGTGTTGCCCAGATTGACATGATGAAATTTGGGGCATTTGTCAGACTACGAAATACTCAGGAGTAAGGTATTCATAACTATACCAATCAAGTGAAGAAACTAAAAAGTGCAGAGAGGTATTTTCCATCAGTTTGTGTTCCGCGATTTTACTTTCGTCCACGCACCATCTTAATAACCTTGATAGTTACCAGAGTAGTCTACTTCCTACAAGAAGGTGCTACGGAAGGTGACTGTAAGGTAGTTCACACGAGAGTTGGAAGGCCCATTCCGCGCGCATTCATGTGCAACGTTGCGTGCACGTGTCACGTGCAACGTTGCGTAGGGGTTGACGGTCATTGCCCCTCGACAGCCTGCGGTGCAAGCAGTTTGCTTGGGCGAGCAAGAACTTTCCTGGCACCGAAGGTCCCATAACCTTGAAGTCTGTATCTCGTCATTCGAGATATCAGGAAGTGAGATGCTATTTAGCGGTAGTTACTTTTCGGCATTACATAAGCCTTGTTAGATTTAACAGCTTGATTAGTTGCAAAATGTTTCAAGGTGACTAATTCTGCAGAAGACCGGTTTTGACTTTTGAGTACTACAATAGTGAAAAAACAAAAATAATTTGCCTAGAAATCTATCCAATATATAGGCAGTATTTGCTTTCCAGAGAAGTTGCACTACACAGAAACGTAATTTGTTTGTGGTTAACCTCATCAGAAAATACAGTTGAAAGTTGTATAAATTCGAGAATCGTTTTGATATATTGTATTTACCTGAAAAGAATTTTCATTTAAATACCGCTGTTTTATTCATCAGAATATGAAAAAAATAAACATACATTCTCATTCGTACAGTAGGAATGTAATATTATTAGTTAATACATGAAGCAGTGTTATGTGTCACATTTTTATTTCTTCACTTGTGTTTTCCTTGCATTTTTTTGGAATCTATCTTTGCAAAAAATGTCTTGTAACATTGAAGGGTTATTATCAGCTTAATTTAAATACGAATGTTTGCTAAATAAAAAATTAGTGCGCCTTATATTGGTTAATTCGTTGTTTCACGAATTCGATTAGCTTGGATTTTAGTTAATGAGATTCGTCACCTAAAAGATCATTCATCAGATATTTTCGTTCAGTGACCATCATAGACTTGTTCAGATAGTAAATATATAAAACATGCAGCAAAGATAATGGATTTATAATTTTAATGAAAAAGTTAGCAAATAGTTCATTTTATTTTAAATCATTTAAAGGAAAGGTGTATGGATTGTATAGCCACTTCTCTAAACTTCGTACACCTATCCACATATCCCCACATCCCTTTTTCAACTTAAATAAAGAATTAAAGTATTGATCATATTTAAGGAAATAAAATATTTTATTACGGAAAGCTTCTAAGCCACTTTCAAAATTTTCAAGGAGGCCGCGGCACTCCTGTCTCTCCGCCCACCGGTGCATAGTCTTTAAAAACAATCTAGCGAGCCAAAAACATTCCCCTAAAAACGTTCAGAAAGTGCAGTCGCGCGTGGTAACGACCTCTGCGAGCTGTCAGTAACTCTGTAGAAAGAACACTTTCCTCGTTGGGGAACCAGAGAACTGGTTCTGTGCGTGGTGGCGCCAGGCCGTGTCTTGACCACTCTCGCCTTCGCCCAGCGCGCCGCGCTCGTCCCCGCAGGCGCTGGCGCCGGCGCGTGTTGGCTCGCCTTGGGCCCCAAGGCTGAGGAACCGGTCCCCGCGATGCGAGCTCCGTCACCCGCGACAGCTAACCCCGTGCGTGTTAACGACGCGCTCGACGCGGATTGGGCTCCGCGGGAAACAACAAAACGGCGACTGTTTTTTGTTGTTGTTGTTGTTGTGTTGGAGGGCTTCCTTCCGTCACTGGTTAGACACGCAGTGGCGGATCCAGGAACAGGAGGGGGGCATGTCGCGCCCCCCCCCCAAAAGGCCTTGAGTTTTCGTATGTTACGGTCCTTTATTTGGCAAAATGGATTTAAGTATTTATTTGTTATAATTATGTAATTATTTAAAAAAGGTTATTGTTTACCATCACATATACACAACAAAAATTATATAGAATATAACAACAAATATGTTTATTATTTACCAAAAATCTATGATTCCCCACCGAAATAATCGAATTGATCCGCGCCTGTAACTCACACGCAAATATAATTGTCAGGTAGAAAATGTGTAGACGTGACAAAAAATAAGTCAGTACAGTGCGTAGTATTCCACAGTACAGTGCATGACCAACGTGGTAGATACTGTTTCAATCTACTAAACAGGATATACGCTCGGCAGAAAAATATTTTGATAGGTATTAAAATCTGTTTTAAAATAAACACACAGTCAGCGAAAATGGCGTCTTCCTTTCACAACTTTGATAGTGAATTTTTAGTATCTTATTGGAATTAATTAACCCTGAGCAAATACAGAACTGAAAGTGTTAGATAATGTTAATATATGATATATTTTGAATGTAAACTATCTCTGCTATCTTTGAAGTTTACATCTTGCCATTCTTCACTTGTATTTCGTGTATTTCATCCAACTAAAATAAGACTTCTCTTTTGAATATCAATACTTACAACAAAGTACAGAACTTACAACAATACTTACAACAGAATAATATTTCTGCACAGTTAGAACTCTGCAGCAAAATTTAAAATGTTGTGTAAAGAAACAATAGAGAAGGATAAAAAAGAGATACTTTATCTTTGAATCTAAACTTTCTTCTAAAAATAGTTTCTGTGATGAGTATTTACACGTTACTGACTCTGACATCATTGCGATTTTTTCTTTTGTTCAGTGGACGTCTAAACATTTATTGTCGTTAAATTATAAATTATACCTTTTTATATTATTTAAAAAAGCATATCTCAGGATATGCTTTTTTACCTATCCTTGGGAATATGTGAGGGAAGTTTATTGCAACTGTTCTTGTAAACAAGAATCTTGCGAAATCCTGTAATTCTTGAGAATCATAAAATGGAAATTTATTCAAAGAATCCCGCGTTAGTGTGAGTATTCTTGAGAAAATGTTGAACAGAGAAAAAGAATGCCTCAGTGAGAACTTTGAAAATAAAACTATCATGTATTTCCTGAATAAAAATCTACCTAACTGGTATTGTTCCCAAATAGAGGTCAAAATAGTAAGAGGTT